CGGTAAACAACTTTTCTTCTAGTAGTCCTGCAGCTGCTGGCCCTGGTTGCTCAGCCAACAATCCTGAGTCCTGTAACCCACTTGTCACCAGATGTCCAGGAACTAGATCAGCTAGTGTGGTCCTTGTTGACCCGGGCAATGACTAATCTGGTATAGGTTTCTGTAAATTACGTCTCACCATATTGTTTATGGGGGAGACATTCTTTGTCTGGCTCCTCTGATGAGACCTGTCCAAATTGGTTGAACCTCTGGCATAGCTTTCATCCTCCTTGGAGCATTCATGTCCCACAACCACGTGAAGGTAGTATCTCACTGGGGGTTGTTGTTATTATATTTTATCCCACCTTTTTTAATATATAACTCAAGGTGGTGAACATACCAAATACTCCTTTGTCCTCCTATTTTCCTCACAACAACAATTTGTGAGGTGGGTTGGGTTGAGAGAGAATATCTGGCCCAAAGTCACCCAGCCAGCTTTCATACCTAAGAGAGGCCTAGAACTCACAATCTCCTGGTTTCTAGGCCAGCTCCTTAACTACTACACCAAACTGGCTCTATAATAACCCTGAAAAGAAATTCTGAAAAGAAAGCCATAAAAAACTCATCTGCCTCTATTCTCAGATTTGCATCTGATCTAAATCTCATTTTTAAGGTAGATTATTGGGAGAAAGAGCCAGTTTGGTGTAGTGGTAAGCACCAAATTAGAAACCAGGAGACTGTGAGTTCTAGTTCTGCCTTAGGCACAAAGCCTGGTGGGTGACCTTGGGCTAGCCATTGTCTCTTAGCCCTAGGAAGCAGGCAAAGGCAAGCTGCTTCTGAAATCTTGCCAAGAAAACTGGGGACTTGCCTAGGTAGTCGCCAGGAGTCAACACTGACTCGAAGGTTTAAAAAAAAATTGGGAGAAAGGACTAGGTAAATATTTGGGCTGTACAGAACTTCATATTTGATTCTAGAGGGCTCCTTAAGAGGATGCTGGAGCACAAATGTATCACTTGTCTCAACTCTTTAAAACAGCTCCATCTTTTCCTTGGATCATATGGCTGCCAGATGACATGATCAAGGAGAAATCTGTAGACAGATTTTACCTTCATGCCTTTCCATGGTCTAGGACATCTTTTTGAAACATAATTTATTTATTCCATTGTTTCAAAATTTCCAAAAAATTTATATGTATTTGATTGGAAATGCTAATGTTCCAGAAGTAAAGAATGTAAGAAATAGACATAGATATATTTATAAATTCAGTTTTGAGAACTGTTTAATAAGTATCATTATATATAATTTTATAGATTAATATGATCTAGTGTGTTTGAGATTTTTTGCAAGGTTTTGAATTTTGTACTTTTTTTTAAAAGGTACATTTGAATTTCTTACTGTTCCTGTTTCGGTTAGCAGAAGAAGCCAGGGCCAAGGCTGTTGAAGAAAAAAGTAAAATAATTAAATATGAACATGTTCTCTCTTCAGCAAAGGTAATCATAGTTAAATTCTTTATTGAATCTTAATTTGCGTACTATAACGTTAAAGCTGCATGCAATTATATTAAGATCTAAGGGAGCGTTCAGATGAGACTACCTTTTATAAACATAAGATTTTTATTAAAATTTTATTACATTGAGAAAAATAATCATTCTTGTATAATTGCATTACAAATTTATGTTAGAACATGTATATCTAAATTATAGTTGTTAGTACTAAAACACAAATCAGTGAATTGGATTAGGTGTAACTGCTTGTCAAAATAATTCTGTATGCTAAAAATATAATAAAAATAATACTATAAAAGGGGTATTCACTGCAAGGATATTTTAAACCCCACAGAAAGAACATTGCAGTAATCTAAATGGAAGATTGCTAATGCATGGGCAGCCAGACAGTGGTATAAAAAGCTGCCATAAGATTAAAGAGAACGAACACCCCCCCCCACCCCCCAGCAAGTCTTCTGTTAGGGCAATCAAAGCAGTTGCAGTGCCAGAATGAAACTTGAACTCTGGATGAATTGGATCAGGTAATTGCACCATTCAGGAACATATGAAATTAATCAGTCATTATCTTCTTCAGTGGGGTATTTGCAGTAGAGTAGTATTCACAAGTAGTTATGGTTCTCTTAGGAGAGGCCACACCACTGCCTCTTTCAAGGGAGAATGGAATGGAATGTTTACCTCACTCTGGACCTCCTCCATAAGTCCCTTTCTACTAGGTCTCAATAACCAGGACTGGCAAGAATCCAGACTATATGTCTATATGTGGAAAATGTACAGATGCAAAATTATTTTTCACACTTTCATCCTCAAACTGAAATCAGTTCCCCAAAGCATCACTATGGCTCCTTGCTGGCTCCAAATTATTTTTGCTTCCATACCAAAATCCAAATATAGGTAGTCCTCACTTAATGACTGTTAGTTTAACGATGGTTCAAAGTTACGTTGACCTTGGAAAAGTGCTTTATGACCTGTACTTGCACTTACAACCATCACAAACCATCATGCCCCTCCGTGGTTACATGATCATGATTTGTGACCTTTTTTACAACAGTCGTTAAGTGAATCACCATGGTTGTTAAGCAAATTCTAGCAAAAAAGTCTATTGGGGAATCTGGATTCACTTAACAACCACATGATTTGATTAATGATCATGCTGATTCGCTTAACCATTGTAAAAATGGTTGTAAAATTGGGTCTGGTCTTGTGATGACTCGTTTAATGACCACCTAGCTTAATGACCAATTTTCTGGTCCCTATTGTGGTTGTTAAGCGAGGACTACCTATAATTGCTGTGTGCCAGTTTTGCTGATAACAAGAAGCTAAGAGTATGTGTCAATTTAAATTCACACAGGAACTAATTCTCATAGAAGGCTTCTGGGCTGAGTCACTATTAAGGGGGAAGTCTTAAAATATCAGAAACAACTGAAACAGGAGGGTTTTTTGTCGGGGGGGGAGGAAATGGCTGGCAACTAAAATGAAGCAGACAGACATAGCTGTTGTAGTGGGGTTGTTAATTTCAATAAAGAGCTGTGGATCAACTTAAATTGGATTAGGTAGTATTTGCACTGCTGACAGGCTGTTCATTCGGGGTTCAAGAAAATTGTTAAAGAGAGTTGTGGGGCTCAATCTGAGGAAGCATACTGAAGATCAGAAGAGGATGAAGACCACCAAAAGACAACAACTAACCAATGCAGAGGACACAGTGGAATGACAGAAAATGACATAAGAAAAGAAGATTATAGGTTTTATCAACCAGCTTGACTGAGTGAAAAAATTGCCACTCTTCTCTGTAAGCCTTTCCTTAACTCTAAAATTAGGAAGTAGCTAAGGTTAGAAATAGAGTAGTGGACACATATGTTAAGTTCACATCATAATTAATTTATATATGTTTGTGTGTGTGAGCACGCATGTGTGTGTATGCTTCCATTATATTAGGCTAAAAGCTTGAGTGTAGAAAAAAATGCTCTAGTCTTGCATTTTAAGCAGTCTTATCAGCTAAGGCTTGAAGAGAAGGAGGGAGTTACTCATGATGAAATGCAATCCCATTAGTTACATTTTAAGAAACCAAAACTGCACTGTTCTCTTTAACATGTCTTTAATAAAAAGAAAAAAAAAACCCTGAAATATTGTATTGCATTGAATTTCTATAAAATCCTCAAAATTCATACATATTTCTTATGATAGTCAGTAATTTTCTCCTAAAAATATTTAGCCAGTACATAAGAGCAAATGACCAAGGGTTCAGGAGCTGTCATTATTAAGTCATTGCCCACAAGCCCTTCATAAGAGCTTGAGGATGCAATGGAGAGGGGTACTTCTACAGACGTGACACTATGTAGTGCTCATATGCTAGTTGATTCCTGTTTAGGCTAGTGCCAGTTGTGCTTTACCCATCTTACAGACTTTACATTTTGGGTTCACAGTGCTGATGAGAGCATTTAAGGGCAATCATGTCTGTGGTTCTGTCATCATTCCATAATGTCACAGAGGCCTTGAAAGGATCACCAGCTCTATTCCATTAGTGTCCAGGAGTGGACCATTCCAATGGATCCTTTAGAGAGAGGGTCTGCTACTGTAATCCCCTTAAGAAAGTTGTGTGCCCATGACAAAAAGGCCACAGAACCCCCCGCAGTGTATGGTACTAAAGTTACTTGATGAAAAAATGAAATTAGTTTGGCAGGTCTTATTTTTAACAAATCCACCCTGACTTCTAGTAATGCTGCATCACTAGCTACAGATGTCAGGCTGACATAAATTTTATTTTAAAGAATGTTCCCTACTCGTGTATTGTAAAATGTAGAACAACAAAAGAACTAGAGGAATGGAAAGACACATGCTCGCTGATTCAAAAGGTTTACTTGTGTAGGTACAAGGTCACTGTTTTATTGGTTAGAGTGATCATTGTAGTCATACTCTGTTTAAATGAAAGGTATTTGGAAACAGATGAAAGCCATCTAAAGCATTTCATATAAAATACATGACTACATTTAAATGAAATAATGAGCTTATGTATCTGAAAAATCTGTTTTTCTTTCCAGATAATTTTAAAGAAGAGTCGAGGCTAAAGGAAAGAGAAGTTCTTAATTCACTGACTGATTTCTTATACTTACATTCCCAGGATCTTATATATGATTAAATTCAGATATTTGTGTTTTCTATTTTCATTCTTTTTGCATTAAATAATTCTTAGAAATAAATCTCAGAGTTCATTATATAGTCTTTGATGAAATTATTTAGTAAGTGTATATAACCAACACCAGTGACTGAAATGCAGTTTTAATATTGATTAGAAAATATTGCCTCTTTTTGTAAGGATTATATAAAGTGCCTTATCAGAGAACTTTAAACATAACCTCAACTGGCAGCCATTATGTATTCCTACAAACCTTTAAAAACAAAAAATTATTATCCAGAGGATATTTGTAATGTGCATGTTTTCTACTGTTTATACCTTTTTGAACTTCTGATGTTAAATCACATCATAAATAAATAACCTTGCAGCTAAGGAAATATTTGATTTTGGAGCCTTGTAGTGGGAGACAGAGTTTTAAAACACAAAACCATAAATAAAATATAAAAATATTTCAAATATTACCATTTGTAGTAATGAAGCTATTCTAGACTGCTTTCTTCACATGTTAATTTCTCATGTTATTTTGTTATGTGCTAGAGAAAAAAAATACTTAAACTGGTAAATAGCCTTGCCCAGCTCAATTTTAATAGTTCCTAGGATGAGATTGCAATGGTACATTCCTTTTCTTCTTTTATTAAGCAGCTACTGATGTTGGGGATCATAAAAGAAATGAAAACCATGAAGCAGTTTTATTCTTTTTCAGTTTTTACTTTTAGAAGAAATGTCAATTCTGTCATCTTTCTCTACATGCATAATATTATACAGGAAAAATATAACTGGAACCTTCAATTTGTATAATTTATTAAAACCTAATAAAGAGACTTCTGTCTTCAGTCTTACAATTTTTGGAATTTCTACACCATTATATCCTTCAAAGGAATAAGCTATTGCAGACATAAATTTTTTTTGGAAAAGAAGGCTGCTTACTTTTAAAGCTTCTACATTGCTTCATACAACTTTGTGGTTAAGTAAAAAGTACACAAAGTATGTGAATGTCCCATTTTAATTGAATAGATTATAATGTTTTGCTATAGTGAAATCTAACGTGTTAATTACTTCTGTAAATCAGTACTATGATCAATGCCTTTGATATAGACAGTAATATAATCAGCGTTATTTTCATACAATCTGTTCTTTTTAGAAATCTCATCTCTTTTAAAATGGCTGTTCCTTTTGCAACCATAAGATGGGGATAGAGTAAAGTGTCCCATACATTTTCCTTTTTATGTAGATTTCTGTTTCATTAAATCTGCCTCTTTTAAAGAATTATTATGTTACATTAAAGTACCTTCTTGTTGACAGATGTAGGGTGATTATGGATTTCATTTTAATTACAGTTTTACATGAAGGAAAAGAACAGCTTCAGAACTTTCATGCTTCTTGTTAATGAACTCTGTCAAGAGAGAAGTTACATTTCTGTGTTTTGGCAGCATGCTGAAGATGTTCTATCTTTCACACTAAGAAGTGTCATTTTCTAATCATCGAACATAATCAACAATGGGTGGTTAATGCTTTAGAGATTTTGTCTAGAAACAGTGTTTATATTAATCACTGTAGATAGGTTTTTAATACAGAGTACTTACAGCAGCTACTTGAATTAAGCACAAATTAAAGAAAACAACTAATCTTGCATCAGTTAAATTATTGCAGTGAAGTAGAATAGTAATAATAATCCTCACCCCCACCCAAAATAATAGATACGGAGAGAACTATGCAACATTTTTCCTTTGGCCAGTTTTAGAAAATCTTGAAGTTCTAAAGGAAATGTGCTATGACAGTACACTTAAGATTACAAATTATGTATTAAAGTGTTAGTACATAGTATCTGTGTTCAAAGATTGTAATATACTGTACACATTTATTTAAAAACTCCAAACATATTATTGAAGAGTGGATAAGAGAGTGTAGCAATGCTTGAATGGGTCTCTGTTGGGTAGTTTACAACTGTTTTATTCATTTGACTTACTTTTATTTTGTATGCTCGTACCTTAATTTCTGGAGATTTTAGCTCTTTTGATTGCAAGTTTTGCATCTTCTACTGCAGTTGTTTGCTGATATTGTTCACCATTTTTGCATATAAGTGTTTTATATCCATATTTACAACAACAGTGCTTCACATGATTAGGAAACATATGTTGACTTCCTTCAGTTTTGAACTAATTCTTGGGTTCTCTCCTACGAGAGAGGAAGAGAAGGCCACCTAGCAGTCTGGGAGGTGAGGTCTTTCCCATGCTTCTAGCATAACACGAAAAGACCTGGCCCTCATGGGACAAGCTGAACCTTCCTATTTAACAGTACCCTTGCACTATTGGAAGGACTCACAGACTCACAGTAGTTCCCTTGTTATTAGAATAAGGAGAGAAAGTGTTTTAGACATTTTTAGAATTATGTATGTATTACTCTTGGCCAAAGAATGATTTTTTTTTCTCAACAAATGTGCAGAGCCAAGCATTAGGATTGTGTTTTGTTCTGACATTGGAATAGAACAGTCCAACTCAAAATGTTCCATCAGAACATTCTGAGTTGACTGTGTTCTAAGGACTAACGTTTTAAATGGGGCAAGTGTTTCTTCTTCTGTCAGAACAAAACTCAGAAGTGTTCTGGCTACAGTAAACAATGGGAACTTTCTTTGAACTTTTTGCTTCCTTGTTTTTAAGCCAAGGGCCACAAGAATATTTGGACTGACTGTCCATGCTGAATGGTAGCAGCCACCTAAATCGTAATGAAATTGGCCAAAGGGGTGATTTTAAAGTTTGTAAACTTAAGAACATTGGAAGCAATTGCTTCCTATAAAGATATTATGCATGTAAATATTAACTGAAGTGCTCATTCATGACAGATTAGTCTCAATATATTCTTTTCCAATTAGTTAGCTTATAATTTCCAGAATACGGTGGTAAATGCACTCAGATTTCTTTCAAATCGGCCCCTTGGCCAATTTGACTATAGGTAAGGTACAAATATAAGTCATAATGGACAATCACTCTCCTTTGCAACATATCATTTTGCATATTTTTCTTTTGGAAGTCAGGCAGTGACTGTCCAAAAAGTGCTCACAGCTGTTGTTTGACTCTTACAGCACAAGGGAGAGGGGACAGAAACAAAATTTCCCCCCTGCTACTGCCTCAGCTATTGAAAACGGGAGTAATCATTGTGAGCGCATATGTTCTTTGCTCAGCAAAACAACAAAGAAGTCTTTAAATATTTTGTAAGAGGGTGTCTTCTTCAGTACGAAAGTTGAAATGTTTCATTGTTTTGAACTTGAAGTGGTTTGTGCTCAGACTGTTTTGCACATCTCTGTAGGGAACAAGTCCAGTTAAGTTGTTTCTGAGTCATTGTTCTGAGAATGGCTTTGCATGATCAAGTTACTAATGGGATGACCTCTAGCAGTTAATCACCTCTTATAAAGGATAACATTAATTAACTACTAATGTATTAACATTATTTTAAATATGGTAACCTGATGGTTACTATATGTGTTCTAATTAGCATGCAGATAGATACTTTTCCCACCAATAGGCCAGGACCAACATTAACCAGCATTTTATATTTACTTAAATATTGAAATATTTGATATTTTTGGTATGGATTTATCCTATGCTTCAAATAACAATCAAAATATTTCCTATTTATTATTTTAAATTAAATGGCATCTATCTTTACGATTCCATTTTTTGTAGAAATGGAAGATCAAACAGCATGTGTACCCTAATAAAGTACTCTTTTTAATTTTAGTAAAAATGAAGATACATAAGATTAGTAAATAGCTACGTGAAGAAAGTTGTACGAATTAATCAGATTTATATGTGAAGGATAAATATGAGATGGGCTTAAGATACAATTTCATATAATGAACTATTTTTTCCCTGGTCCTGTAAGCCAGTAAGTAGACTGTTACTGTTGTGTTTAAATGTTTAACCTATTTTAAAATGTTAATAGTGTCAATTATTTTGAACTAAATCTAATCTTAGGCTATGTGTTTGTGTTTTTCTCTTGACAGTACAGATAAGTGTGTTGCATAGACTTCAAATACTGGTCTTTGAAGACTAAAGCAAAAAGTTATTTTTCTTATCTCCATTGTATGCGGTAGAACATTTTTATGAACTTTTGCAATGTCAAAACATTAAACACAGGGGAGGATATCCTATGGTTTATAGTGTTAAGGGAATTACCTCACCAGCTTGAAAGGTCAATAACTAATGCACACCAGAGGAAAGCAAGCCTTTGGAATCCTGCAGTTTATGGGACATAAAGCAATATATCATAGTTCTGGTGTCTTCTTTAATTATTTTCATTACAAAAGTGTAAAATTCCTTTTCATATTTTATATTCCTGAAATCATAATTTATCTTCTGTTGGTTTCGAAAGAAAGTGTTATTCCATGGTGAAATATAGATACTAGGAAGGTGGAATATACTGCCACCATCACCACCACCATCTCTTAAAACTATGAACATTTAAGCAAAATGTCTCAAATATATTTCTGGCAAATATATACATGTTTTTGGCCTTTCCACCCTAAAAAATTACATTTAAATTTAAGCCCATTCCACCCTCTTTAAGTTTAAGAATGTCTGGTTAAAAGTTCCCTAATGATACAGGAGAAGGAAATGCCTGTATTTGTTTGGTCATTTTTTGTAAGACAAACTTACTTGAAAAATAAGCACTTCAAATGCTAAAAATTTTGGGCTTTTTGAAATAAAGCTTGGGAAGCAAGCACTGAGTTTTTTTGGCCTCCTGTGCTCTTTCTTTTCCATTCTGCTTTTCAGTTTGCATCATTGGAAAAATCCTGCAGTTTCAGCTATTTACAGCAGTTGTGGGGTGAAATATTCTTAGTCTGACTTACTTTGGAAGTTTGGAAATTTTGACAGTATCCCTCAGCAATTGGTAGTCTCAGTTTATTTATTTAAAGTATTAGTACCCATTTTTCACTTAGTGGAATTCCCAGAATGTCTTACAGTCCATCAAAAGAACAATGGAATTAAAACAGTCATTTTTAAAAGTTGACAGTGAATACTCTGTTACCACCTCTCATCCTATTAATAGGTGATTGTAACTGATTCTGTTGAGATCAGGAGTGGCCTGTCCACGTAGAAGAGCTAGACAATCATTTATGGTGCCAGGTTAAGTAGGGTGCCAAATTTTGAATGAATAATTGTTTTTCTGAGGGCAGAGGCATTGTTTGCCTGGTTGCCAGTCTAGAGCTGCCACTGTCTGAGAATGAGGAGACCAGTCCCAGCGAAGGAACACAGGAAATGATACTTGCCAGCCAGAGACATTTAATTGCAATGCCTTCAGTAGGGGAAGTACTGAAATGGTTTAGCCCTTCAAGCTTCTCCTTTTGGGCATCCATCAGAGAGGTATTCAAGCCCCCAAAATTGGAAGTTTTGCTGATATCTGCCAGTAGTGGATTTCTTACTTAAATGTTTAATTCCACTTGAAGATGTGTTTTCATTGAGCCAAAGCATGTTTCCAAAGGGTGACTTTGTTCCTATTGATACAAATTGACCTTTACCAAGTTAATTTAAAGTTAAGTTACTAAATCAAATGATACATTGGATTGAAAAATGCAGTATAAATATAGGTAACACTAGGTTACAGTGCTGTAATCTTTTCACTGATCAACCAATAGTTAATTTGGAGCAAAATCTGCAGTGGAATTGTACTAAGGTCTATATGTTGGTAGATATAACTTGTACATATGTACCCAACTTCAGTCTGGTTGCCGTGATAGGGTTAGCTTATCCATATGGCAGTACTTTTTTCTTAAATGCAGTTCCAGTGATTTTTGTTTTGTTTTGTTTTCTTAAGAGC